GGACTGCAACTAATGGTTATTTTCTAGATGAATTGTTTGGTCTATAAAGAAAAATGTCTTGTCCCAGTTTCTCAGTCCAATGTGGTGTCTTTAAACGTCTTGTTTTGTCAGTCCACAACCCAAAGATATTCAGGTTAATATCATATAAAACAGAAAAACAGAAAACCTCCATATTTGAGAGGCTTTCTGCAATAATTATCATAATATTTGCTCTCTGTGTAGGCATTTGTTGAGTAATTATGTTTGCACAAGGTAGAGAATAGGGAGTTACTCGCACACATTTGTATTGTAAAATATCTTTCAGTTCCCCTTTTTTTTTTTTTAGACGGAGCTTGTGCAACAACCAATAACTGCCAGTCAAGCATAATAAACGATGTAAAGAACAAGTGCTAATGTCCTCTCTTTCTCTGTGTGTGTGCCAGGATCATCCATGAAGCGGGCTACTCAGAGGAGGAGTGTAAGCAGTACAAGGCCGTGGTCTACAGCAACACCATCCAGTCCATTATTGCCATCATCAGAGCGATGGGACGCCTCAAGATTGACTTTGCCGATGCAGCGAGAGCGGTGAGTGATGGGAGACAAAGCTGGCATTTCTACTGTTTTTTTGGGATATTACAAAGTTGTATTTCCGTGCAAATATATAGCCCAGTGGTATAAGGGCAACGACTACTTAGTCATATGTCACCCTTCCCTGCTGGGCCATTTTCTTCTCACTCCCTCCTCCGCAGCAGGTCGGATAGAGCTGGTAGGGGCTTAGTATCACATTCATAACACTTCATTAGAGCAGCTGCTTACTGACATGAGAACTGTCCGTGGGTCCTTCAGTTGGAAAGAGCTGTGCTGCTGAGCCGGACATTTTTGAAGTGCTTGTTCATGGACAGAAGAGCTGCCTGTCAACACGAATACGAGCTTTACAGTATTAATCAGCAACATGTTTTCCATGATTTTTGGAGACTTTGTGTTCATTGGGTTGGTGTTTTTTTTTTGTATAAGTATAGTATGTTATTGCCACACGCCGCAAATAAATACAGCACAGACTGTTGAGTATTTGGTTTCTTCTTTTTTATAAACAGACCTTTTTCCTTTTTGTGAAGCCTTTTTTTTTTCCCTGGCATAACAAGAGGCTTAGTCATTGCCTCAGCGTGACTGGCCTGGCTCTGCCATCGTGACCAATTTTACACCCAAAGCTTTTCTTTCTAGATTTTATGCTCTTATCAATTTTTGGCCAAGGACCTGCTTAAGATACTGTGTAGCTTTGGAAATCTAATTTAATGCAAGTGTCATGGCTAAAAGGACTGAACTAATTTGTCATTTTTAATTCATCGCTTGCATTGTCTCCAAACAGGCGTGTTTGTCAGTGGCAGAGGGCTCTTGCTGTAATTGTATAAAAAAAGGACTGCAGATCTGGGGCGCCTGGGTAGCTCACCGTGTAAAGCGTGTACAAGGCCGAGGCTTCACCGCAGTGGTCCAGATTCGAGTACTGCCTTTCTTGGCTCTCTCTACTGGCCTCTCAATAAAGCAAAATCACCCCCTCCAAAAGAAACATGACCGCAAATCTAAATTCTGTCAATTAGGATTCATTTATTTATTGGAACAAATCTAATGTAAGGCCACAATACAACAAAAGTACAGGAACAGTGCTCCTAAATCTTGCTTTGTTTTGTCATTAAGTGCACTGTAAACATTAGCTCCGACACCAGTATTGGAAATTCTGCTGATGCTGACTAAAATGTGGCATCGGGTATCGGCGAGTACGCATGTCAGTGTACGATCCGATACCATGTAATTAATTTGTCCCGAAACAGGATCCTGCTACTTCCCCGCAATGTCCCGTTCACCATTTTTCTCCCCAAGATAGTGAAGTCATGACCCTGCCCTAGTCTGACCCTGAGAAAGGGTTTAACCTGACCAAGGTCATACAACATTAGAAATTATACAGACAGATATATGTTTATCTCTGTTTTTTTAATGCACATGTGTTGTTCTTCAGTATCAGTCAGTATGCAAAGTTCAGGTATGAGGAAGGAGGAAATTAAAAATACACCCTAGAAAATACGCACATTCAAAGCAAAACTGACTTTAAGTTATATGGAAAAATCTTGTGGATTATAACTTCAATTGGTCTTTGTCTCTTTAGGATGATGCACGGCAGCTGTTCGTCCTGGCTGGATCAGCAGAAGAGGGCTTCATGACAGGCGAACTAGCAGGGGTCATTCAGCGGCTGTGGAAAGATGGAGGAGTTCAGGCCTGCTTCAGCCGCTCCCGGGAATACCAGCTCAACGACTCTGCAGCATAGTGAGTTGGTTGTACTGACATGTTGGAGGAAACTACTCTGGGACTGTACTGTTTTTTTGACCTGGTGTCAATCTATCCCTCTTTTTGACTTTTCTCTTCCTAAAGCTACCTGAACGACTTGGACAGGATATCCCACGGTGCTTATGTGCCCACCCAGCAGGATGTGCTGAGGACCAGAGTCAAAACTACTGGTATTGTGGAAACACACTTCACTTTCAAGGACCTGCACTTCAAGTGAGTAACAGCCACCGCAGTTAGTCCAGGTCATTTAGCTGTATTCACATGATGACTGGTGGTTTTCTCTTCTAGTCTGGGCCTATCTCGGAATCGCCGCCCACATCTAAATCGAACAGTCAGAGTTTAGTAGGCAGGATTAAGAATGGGGACATCATTTTCCTACATGTCCCCAGGCTTATTTCCACAGTCCAGCCTCAAGACTAAATGAGCCTGCACTCTACTCTCTACTAGAGAGCCTGTACATGTCCTACCTGAGGAAACTGGGCTAGTTGGATCTTTTTCATCTTTTGAATCCTTTTGAAACATGTTAATAATCCGGCTTTTATGTCAATTTACACAATATTTCCTCTTTATCCTTGTGATTTACTGAAAACAAATCGCTTACTGACAGTCCAAACGTCTTGAATCAAATGTTAGATGATGGAGTTGTTATGAAATAGTCTACACCTCAGTAAAGTGACAGTAGAGGTGGTAAGGCTTTGAGTGCTATGTCCAAGGATCCTCCTCATATTATACCATGGCAAGGGGCCCCCAGATGGCCCCCCCTGTGGAGCTGGTGCCCCATGTGCCGGGGCTGCAACCATGGGTTCGACTCTGACCTGTGGCCCTGTGCTGCATGTCCTCCTCTCACTCTCCCACCGCTTTTCTGTCACTCTTCAGCTGTCACTATGGATTAAAGAGAATAAAACCCCCCCAAAATCATAATAATGTACCATGACTACAGATAAATATGGAGTTATAATCAGTGACTGCCAGAATGAGTCATCTTAATTAGTGAACATTTAGTTTGTGTGGTATTTAGTGTGTATCTGTGATCTTTGTGCAGGATGTTTGATGTAGGCGGACAGAGATCAGAGAGGAAGAAGTGGATCCATTGTTTTGAGGGAGTCACTGCCATCATCTTCTGTGTGGCCCTGAGTGACTATGATCTGGTTCTGGCTGAGGATGAGGAGATGGTAAGACCTTTCTGACCTTTCAATACCTTTATCAGTTCATGCAGCTTCTCTGGTTGGTTAACACGTCTCTCCTCTCATTCAGAATCGAATGCACGAGAGCATGAAGCTGTTCGACTCCATCTGCAACAACAAGTGGTTCACAGACACCTCCATCATCCTCTTCCTCAACAAGAAGGACCTGTTTGAGGAAAAGATCAAAAAGAGCCCTCTCACAATCTGTTACCCAGAATACGCAGGTGAGAGAGACGCATACATTAACAGAGCAGGTGCAGTGTTTCGACGCTACTTTAGGACCTGGTACATGAAATCTGAATTCCAATTTTGTTTATCAATCAAGATGAACAGACCAGCAGACCTTCAGCCCTTAAAACAAAATGTCTTCAGTCATACTGTCTCAGCTCAGGACCTTTTTTTAGAAATGGTGAAACAAGGTCATTTAAATCATAAATTATGTTTTACAGCTCTTAAAGCCCCCGGAGGGTTTGACCCAGGAAGCCTGACAGTGAATAAGTTGAAAGCTTGTCTGAAATATCTGCAAAATAGAAAAAATCTACACCTAGGGGCAGAAACTTGGGGTTAAACAGTTTTTTTTTTTGGACTTTGAACTGAGGTCACATTCAGCCATCCATAGCCCCTTGTTGCCGACTCAAAGGTGTGGCAATCTCTACAGCGGACACAAAGATATTTCTTTATCCTCTCTGCTCTGCAGTCTTGAACTGTGTGGGCTGCTTTATGTGTTTTAACAATGTGTCTTATTGATTCTCATATTTCACAGATGTGAACGTGTCATCAAAATCGAAGCCTGTTTGACACACATTCTGTGTGAGCAAAAGATAAACGAGCTCTCCATATCTTAGTCATTGTATAAACCGTGAAGAACATTTGTAGAAATGTCCTTACTTTGCATACAATAAGTGTGCATGCAAAATTACATTTGTCTAGAGGTGTTTCATGGAGAAAGCAGTGAATCAAATAAAGTTTATTTATATAGCATCTTTTAAAAACAAATCAAAGGCAATTCAAAGTGTGTTACAAGCTACTGACATGATATAGATACGACAACTAAAGATGGCTATTTAAGATAATAAAATATAGAGCTATGTAATAGAGAGCCCACAACCATCAGACCCTCCATGTAAATCAGCTTCAGATAACAAAAAAATAAAGATAAAAAACAATATTAAGCCAACACACACAAACAAACGCACTATTACACTCATTGGCCACTTTATTCTGTAAATTTGGGTATAAAAGTACATTTAAACTACGCAGCTTACCTACTCATAGTAGAAACATATAAATCAAGGAATACTATTCAAATGAACTAAATCTGAGCAAGTTTATAAAATCTGGCAGGCAAAACATTGCGCTTCTGAACAGTCCGGTTGTTGGTGGGGAGTGAAGTTGTGTGCTGGACGGATCAAAACAGCATCGCAATCCTACACAACAACTCTGCCATTAATTCTTCTTTTACCAAGTATATACATTTTCCGTTTTTGTTGACAGTCAAAAAGGTAATAATTCTACTTTTGTTTATTATGGAGGTCATAATTAGTGATGTGTTGTGCTAGACTGCGTTATATTAAAAGATGTTTCGAGTATTTTTCTCCCCTTTATGTATGTAAACTGATGAAACTCTCCGTGCTGTGCGTCCCCTAATTGTCCTCTGTCCTCCTTCAGGCTCAAACACCTACGAGGAGGCAGCAGCTTACATTCAGTGCCAGTTCGAGGACCTGAACAAGAGGAAGGACACCAAGGAGATCTACACCCACTTCACCTGTGCCACCGACACCAAGAACGTGCAGTTCGTGTTCGATGCCGTCACTGACGTCATCATCAAGAACAACCTGAAGGACTGCGGCCTTTTCTAAAGGTAACGCCTGCCGCTTCCAGGGCCGAGCTGCTGTGGGTTTGTCACGTTTGTCTCTTCTAATCATGGCGTCTTTTTTGTTGCTTTCTTCTTTCTGCTCAGGCAACACGGTCGGCCGGCTTACCAAGTGACTTTGTTCAAGGGGACTCGGACTGGAGGGAACTTCAGGGACCCTGCTGAGAATGTCACTTTTAACCTCTTATTAACTTATGTTCATCTCTAAAAGTTTTAAAGACGGTGTGTAGAAAAAACATTTTGTGTAAAGTATTTGTACAACTGTCTATCGCGGGGGATTTTTCACAGTTTTTAAAATGTGCTTGTTTTACCTTTATCATTATTTTAAATTTTTATATAAAAAGGGGGGCCTTGACTTTTTTTTTTTTTGTCCATGATTGAACACTTTTTTGTCTTTTTGTTTGTAGGTGCTTGTGCCTTGCATGCCTTAGTTGCAGTGTTTCTTTTTTTGTTGAGTTAGATGTTAGGTTTATGTAGATGTTGACCCCCCCGACCCCCGACCCCCGACCCTCTGCAGTCCATATAATCTATTTCTTTGATTATTTCATTGTCGCATAACTTTTGCCTCCTTGGACAAACCAAGCAAGACCAAGTCACTCTGTAGACCAATTCACTCTGACATACTGTGAGAGCTGTGTGTAAACCTTTTCGGATGTGTGGTTTGCGTGTGTGCTGCGAGTGTGTGTGTGTGTGTGTGTGTGTGAATGTTTGCACAATATAAAACAAAGGGACTTTATTCCTCTACTTGTCATCCTCTATCAAAGTTTTATTTTTCTAATCGACCAAAAAAAAAAAGAAAGAAGCTACTCTCGCTAATTAATGAGTGCACCTTGATGGTGCGCCGCTACAAACTGTAACATTCCTGATTGAATCATGAAGTAAAGAGAAGCTTTGATAAGAGGATGCCAATGGCGGCCTTGTAGCAGACAGTAGGACCATATGTAGATCTGTGTTCAGTGCGTAGACAGACGGTTAGGTGGCACTGTTATTGATCATGATCTGTGATGGTTTCAAGTTACATATCCCCCCTATACCCCAACCCTCTGTTTTCATTGGACGGGCACATTAGTGGACTAATCTCCATGATTTTGCTAATAAAAAAGCTGCTGTGGTAAAACCATGGCAACTTATGCAATAAACACTTTGCTCTCCTGTGTTTTTTTTTGTGTGTGTGAATGTTTTTGTTTCTACTAACAGGAAAACATTTGACCGATGGAGCAACTGATTGTTTTAAAGATAAAATATCAAATGTTCTTTCGTCTCCAGTGTCAGAATTAGCATTTTTTTCTGTTTTGTTTCAATGTAAATTTAATATATTTTATCTTTTTATCTTTTAGACCTTTTCATGTCATATTTAATAGATAATTTTCACTAATGTGAACTATGTGACTAATTTTAGACAAAACTATTAATAGAGAATAATTGTCAGGTTAGATGATGCATCACTGCAGACCTACAAGACATTAAGTTGCTTTTGAAAGTTATTATTTGACCATCTTATACCATGATGGAGATAAATTAAATATATTAACTTACATAATATGTCTTCTACAGTTTAAGTAAAAACTGAAAATATCAAACTAGTGTTGTTTATGTGCTGTTGATGAATTATTGTTGCTCTCAGATTCAGAGATGAATTTCACAGTTAGGATCCGAAACTACAGAGAGCAGCTTCACTTAATGCCTTTTTCTTAGTTTTTGGTCCAGTAAGCAGCAGAAAGTCTACTATGGATATATGTTTGCATCGTTAATGAAGTCTTTGGGGAAAAGTAGTTGTAGAAGAATCCCTGTAGAAATGTTCAAAGATGTATAAAAACAACATATCAGTTTATAATCAATAAACTACTTTAAAATTCTTAAAAGTAAAACTGCTCCGTCTCTTGGAAAAGTCCAGGAATCTATGAATATGCAAGTATGTTTTTGTCAAAGGTTGAACTGTTGCACACAAGAAGTCTCTGGCTTCACTAGAAAGTGCATTTGTTAATGTATGTGTCCTACAAGCTTATATTTCCACAGCACATTTGTCTAAGTTAACTTAAAAACTAGCTACAGCAGATTAATATTAAAACAGCCTTCAAGTCTCTTCACTTAAATCATTCTGCACAGTGAATCTCAAACATATTTTAAGTGGAGGAGGACTTTAATATTTATTCCTAAAAAAGAAGCCAGTGTGGAGGAGCAGCATCTCCCAGAACTATTCAATAGTAAATAGTTCCCTCTAGTGGTCACACTGAGTAACTGCCTGTAATGACCAAGACTGATTGCTGCTTGATGGTCATAAAGGAGACAACTGAGGGAAATCTAATCACCAGTTCTAATATAATTAACATAGATTGTTCCTGACAAAGATGTATGGGGTTCTTTCATATAAAATCTCCATTGGAAACGCCCCAAGATTAGGACTAATTAATCCTGAACTGAGAGAGTGATTTTCTTCCAAGCTGTGGTGATTTAAAGCAAGAACTGTGGCACAGAACCCTTTCCAGTATTCATGAGCCGATCAACTGCTAAAGGAATTAGTTTAGAGATAGTGATAGGCTTATCAGAACAACTGTCCCATTCCAATTCGTTTTTTATTTTTATACACGTCGTATACACCAAGATGATGGCAAACAGCATCCTACAAATGGGTCACAGCAGTGCCAAGGCTGACTCCTGTCTTGCAGTCTTAGCTAAGCCATCACTGCTCAAGCACAATGATTAGGCATTAGCTGAGAGGACACTATTTTTGGGAGGCATTGTGTGATTTAAAAGCTAACTGCAGAGTCATTTAGCTAATCCCCAAAGCCCTCTCGGGGAGATCAAACAGTTTGCATATGAAGCTTCTTCAAAATGAAGGTGTAGTTGAGGAAAAAAAAGGGAAAGAGAAAGAGGATGATGATGCTAATGATGGTGATCAAACAGCACATGACTGCAGATTGCAGCTGACCAGGGAGTCAAACTAAAAGGAGTCCAATTCAAAACCTTATATCTTGTCTAAAGAAGCTCTTGTGTAATAACCAGCTAATGTTTTTGATCTGCAGGCCTGGTTTAATAGACTCCATATTTAAAACATCTGAGAAGAATAGATGAGAAAGAATATATAAATTATGTGTGAGCGTTTATATTTTAATAAAGTGTCAGTGTGTGAGGATTATAGTCAGACTGAAAAAAAACTCTTGCCTTGTTCTTATATATATATATAATATAGTATAGGCATTAATTAATTTATAAATATAATATTAAGTCATAGTAGTGATAGTTTTAATTTGCTTATATATTAATTTACCTTTGTATTCATCCCCTTGTTTTTTGTACATTCCCATTTAATTTTCTTTTTTTTATTCATTCATTATTTCTGTGTCTTGTATTTTTGCTTTAGTATGCAAATTCTCTCCCATTGGTGAATAAATAATAAGTTAAATGGGGAAAAAAATAAATACCTAAGCAAATTAAAACAGAAATATCATATAATTTATGTCACATTAGATTTATTGCCTATATTTATTTGTAATATGATTTTTGGTGCAGTTAATAGTATATTCATTTATTTATTTACTTTGGATTTTGGCGGTTTATGTCCTCCATACTCTCATCAGTAAATATGAAGCTACTGCCAGCAGATGTTAGCTTAGCTTAGCACAAAGACTGGAAACAGGGGTAAACCATTAGCGTGACTCTGTCAAAAAGCAACAAAATCCACCTACAACAACAATAAGACTCTAGGAAGTTACTGCACCAAACAAGAAGCACTCACATAATCCCACATGAAACACAAAATTTTTTTTGGTTTTGCTAAATGTTCATTGTAGCTGCTAACTGTCTGTCTGCCAGGTAGCGATCAACGAGTTTATTAGAGCTTTTTTTGCTGAAAACGACACCGATGAGATCAGTGTGACTTAACCAAAACAGTACAATTGTGGGTCATACAACCAAAACAAGGTGCCAGAAGACATTAAAATCCTCCTTAGAGATAAAAATACTAATTAGCACAGCTTCAAATTAGTTTTTTAAAGAATAATTTAAAGATATTTACTGATCTGGGTGTTTTACTGTCTAAAAAATAAACTTCAGTACTCTCTTGTGGACAAAGTAATGGCGTCAGTGTTTCTAAGTCTCTACTTATTGACCAACACAAACACTGATACTGGTCAGCTGATATTAGTTTGGCTTCACTCAGGCTCTGGTGAGGAAGACTTAGTGGTTTGGTTTGGAGTCAGTCTGGACTTTCTGCAGGTGTACTCTGCCATCACAAGTTTCACTTCATAATTAAATTTCATTGTGGGCTTGGAGAAAAAGCCAACATGATTTACTTGCCAATTCCCTGAAGCTATTCAGTCTAATTAACTTATTCTCTATGTGTGTTGTGTGTGTGTGTGTGTGTGTGTGTGAGTGCAGATTTTTAACTGCTCCTCCAGTCCAGCACTTCATCGTGTTTCTTACTGGTGCCACTGTGTTGTGTATTTAATTAAAAAGTTTAAAATGTCTTTCAAATATTGTTACTGTCTCAGTGATAGTTAATATGGTCGTCTACAACATGGTTATTTTCCTCTCATTGAGCTTTCGCACATCTGTGGAATAACATAAAGATGTTAAAGACGGGAGGAGTCTGTTGGCCCTGTTGAGAGGGTGTGTGTGAAGGTGACCCCACTCTCCTCTGTCTGTGCCGAGCAATAAAAACAACTTAGTGTGCATTTCTTCCCGAACAGAAAATGCACAAAGCAGAGAGTCAATGAGGGAGGCAGTGTGCTAAATCCATATAAGCTCTATTGAAATTCCCCCTCTGAGCGTGCAGACTGCCTCGTGTTATTGTATTTTTGCCTTCTGTTGTTGGCAGTCTACTTTAGGATGCTCATTACTTCCTGTCTATAATGATGATATAAAGTAATATCCCTCTCTCTCAGCTTCCTCCCCCACCCAGCGTTCACAAACAGTCACAAATGTATTTACAGACGGTCTGAGGAAGCCTCTGTGGATGCTTCAGCTGTGCACAATCACACCTCACCACAACTGTAATTAATATTCTGGCAGACTGTGAAAGATGTGATGAAGTTGTTGCAGCCTCATAGCTTTAAGAGAAAAGGTGTGTACTGTGTCTGAAGCTCTCATTACTCTTCATTACTGCTAGCTCGTGTAAACGCAACTTCCTCCCAACACTCGTCCACGTGTGAGCAGCCACACAGACACTGAGCGCTACTACTGTATGCCGTCAAG